TCTGAGCTGCTGCTTCTTAAACTGTGAGAAAATAGCTAATGCAATACAATGGCTACCTCCACCCTAAAGCCTGTGGCTTTCCAAAACCACACTACACTACACTGACTACATGGCAGCCAAGTTCCCTATTTTTAATATATATTTATGTATATATATATATATGTATTTATAGTGATAAATTTATATGTGCATTACAGTATATTTATACTCACTTAATGGATAACGAATGATTCTACTGTTTTATACACAGAAGATGTTGGTGTAGGCCACTTTGGATGCAGAATAGTTTGGATATAGAGCTCCGTGAATTTTGTTGAGGAAAAAACATCAAAAATATCTCTGTTACATAGTTAAACACACTTCTGAACTCTGCCTAACCAATTACTTTTGTACATTGGCTTGAAAGTACAGCTGCAAGCTGTACAAAGGAAATGACGACGGGATATAAAGGACTAGGGAATATTCAGTATTTACTAAACAAAGATCTTACTTTGAGCATGTGTTCAGTCATACCATAAGTATTTGACAAATACAGCTCTCTGTGCCTGGATAGTTCAGATAGTCATTGCTGTAATTTTGCAGTACAAATACAATAACTCTCTTTGCATTAAAGGTACATGCAATAGCTGACTTTGTCCTTCCCTCTTAAACTATTAATTCAAGCCAGAAAGGCTCTGGCAAGCCAAAGGCATTGATAAATATCAGAACAAAACCTGGAACCCTGAAAGACCATGAACATTTTGAGAAATTAATTTCATACCTTAGTTGTTCAAAGGAATATTCTTCAACGGAAGAATTTCCAAGCTCAGACTTGAAGACAGGTTAAAATCACACCAAATTGTTGAAAGGGATTTTACAACTTCATCTGACTTCTTGGGTGACTAGAGAGCAGTTCTGATAATTTTTAATATTACCAGATGAGAGTTGCTCCTTTAACACAAAGTGTTACGTCTTCTCCTTGGGAACTGAAGAAAAGGGCTATTGTAAAACATGATTATTTATGAACTGTGTTATGGTGTTTGCCAGATGACTGTGCAAGGGGCCCCTGTCTAATCAGGCTGTACAGAGTTTAGGCACTGTAGCTACAGACTGCCACATTTTGGGAGCCTTTAGTCTGCAGAGGCAACAGAGGCAAAAGGTCGGAGCTATCACCCCTGCTGGAGATGGCCAACAGTGATTAAATTACTTGTCCAGCTTCAGAGACTGGGATCTACCATAAGGCAGGAAACAAGCTCAGATGTCCTGAGGCCCATGGTTGCATCCCTGATGTGCTGTGACTCACAGCTAATTCATGGTTGATTAACAATAATTAGGATTTCAGTTTTGAGGGATCACTCATCTCCTCTGCCCTTCACATTTTCTATGACTGCTTAAGTGGTCACATTTTATTGGCACTCTTTTTTGTAGAAATTATTTTTGAGGCCCAGATATTGAAGCATCTGCAGACATCTTGGTTCACAAAAGATGATAAAAGACAGGAGAGAAAACTGATAATTCCCTGCCACTCATCTGAGCCACTGCAAGCAAGCAGCAATCCCAGTTCTGATAAGATTTATATGAAAAGACCTTTTATTTGTCAGCTATAAATTTGGGGAAACTCTGATCTCTTTGCAGTAGTCTTTGACTAAAATAAGAGCTATAGACCTCTAATAGATTATTTGCTAATTCCTTCAAAATAGACTCTCTTGGAGGGAGGACCCTCTGGTGGTCCTACATTTCTGATGGATTTGCTTCTGCTTGCAGATTTTCTGCTCTCATTTTATCAGGATCCTCTGCTATCATTGCATTTCCTGAATTTTCCCATCATTGATTTACTTTTTTCTCAGGTGCTGCTTATGCAGCAATTTGAGCAAAGTGTTAAGCAAATTGGATCAGTGTAAAAATAGATTTTTTTTTCTTCCTAGCAGCTAACATGGTTATGAAATTGAAGAGAATCACAGAGACAAAAGAATAGTAGTAAGTCAAGCTCTTTGCACCCTTTGAATATCTTTGTAAGGCACCTTGTTCTCCTTTTACCTTCACAGTTCAATGATGAACTCTGAGAGATCTCCCTTTTTCAAGTAAAGCCTGACTCCTGTCTAAGATAGTTAAGTTTTACACCCATGCACTTCCCATTAATTTCAGAATCACTTTTCTGAGCCTTCCCTGGGCTGGCTGCAGGTCTTCCTTCCTCCCCTACCCCCACACAACTGGAAATTGCAGGAGCAAAAAGTTGTAATATTTAGTTTCCCTGCATATATTTAGTGCTGTTTATCTCTGGAAGGGGTTTGATCTTTTCCTGCTTTGATTAGAAGATGACCCAGATGGGGAGGTACAGTTATTTTGTGCCATCAGCAGAATTATAATTTGTTCAAGCTGACAACCCACTAGATTCTCACTAGGTGAGGATTTATTGTAGGAGACTTTAAGATATAGAAAGCAACAAAAATAGCTGTATGGTATGTGGCTAGCAAGCCTTACCAGAGTAATTTGCTTCAGGTGTGCTTGACATTTCTGTGCAAGGAGCCCAATCACTGCTCTGTAGTTAACTTTCTCTTTTGTGATCTCATTTTTCCTTCTAACTGTGAAAAGGAATGAGTTTTGCTCAATCCTACCAGCTTGTTCCAAAGTCAGGGTACACTACATTCAGTATTGAACAACACAACAACATGTCAGGAAAAATAAATGAAATGGCTTTGTGTTGTCAGTTTGGGAAGAAATGAGATGAAATATTTTTTCCATGTGCTGAATGAGCCCAGACAAAATCTGTCTAGATACTAGACTCCTACAACCTGCTTGTAGCATTTTTGGAGGAATGACCAGTCTATTTTATGGCAGACGCTCAACCATGCTATACACTCTGAAAAATACTCCCTTTTCTCAGAATAAAATTCCTTCATAGTTAGATAAAACAGAATGGAAGTTATTTGGTAGAGTCTTCTGGAATAGCAGAACACATTAGCTGTGATTCTATACAGCACTCATATTTTTTTCTTCATTTCTAATTCCTCTTGAATCAGAACTAAATTAATAAATCCCAATAAAAGGAGAATTCAAAAAATCAAGAGCTTGTTCCAGGTGACCTCATATGTTGGAGAGCAAGTTTTGGGTAACTGTTGGTTACTGGAAGTCTATTCTGGCTGGAAATATATGTGATTTTTTTTTTTCTCCAGGGCTAGGATGAAACTATCTTAGCTTCTACTAATATGATTTCAGGTAAATACTTATTATTTAAGCCTTAAATTTTCAGTTCACAGAAAGTTCAGGTTGTTACTCTCTAAAAACAAAGAAAACTGAACCACAAATACACAACAAAAACCCCAACACTCCCCCCCAAACAAGAACACACACATACAAAAGAACACCTCAGAACCAAATGAATTCAAAGTGCAGTTATTCCAGGGAGGATTATCCATGTGTAAAATGTGCATTTTTTCTCTCTTTGACCTTGCCACGTTCCTCTGAATTTCATATACTATTAAACAACTGATAAATAGGAGCAACTGTAACATGCAGCCAGTAAGTCTCATTTTAAACACTTGAAAATATTATGTTGCCCAGCTTAAGGACAGCAAATTGAGCACAAAGAAGAAACTTTCTTGATAAGCTTTATGCCCAGAGTCTCACAGTGTCCTTGGGCAAAAACAATAATTTAAACTTTTTTTTTTTTTTAACTGCCAAGAATACTTGAGTTTTCATTCACAACTTCTAAAATATAACCACATTGACACTTATAAAGCTGCTTATCCCATGGCTACATTCTACATACTAGAAAGCCTGTTTATTCACAGCAATTACTGAAAGCACCACCCATTCTCACTGTATCTCTCAGGCCACAATCACTGGTGTCAGATGTGTTTTTACTAACGAGACTGTGGAACTGGTGAGCAGAGAGCTTTCCCACCCTTCCCTTCTCCCAAGCATTCGACAAGCTGCAGTTTCAGGGTGGCCACACCCTGCTTGTTATTGTTAAATCGAAATATTAAAGGTGGGTTCTTTTATATTTTCCTTAGCCTTTCACCTCTGTTTAAAATAGAGTGCATTCAAGGGACATCTGTGTAACTGGCAACACCATCACATTAAGAGCTTTCTATAAATAGCATCACTACTAAATAAACAGCTGAAGCATAGCACTTACCAGCACAGCGAAGTCAGTATTGTGTTATTTATTCTTAGTAGATCTGATGGCTGATGAATAAAGTACACATTTGTTTTCATTTTGAAATAATATGGCCAAAGTGCAAATTAAATTAAAAAGTAAGAGTCAGAAGATGCATTACCAAAACTGCTAAATTTCTTAGGACACACTGGCAAAATGACTGATATCTGCTTTCAAAAGGGGTTCCTGAATTTTCACACTCATGGTTTTTAGAGGTCATTTTTGAAAATGGCATTTCTCATCTCTCTTATCTGTGTTTTTCAGCTGTAAAATGGGGTTAATAACACTTAATTAGTTCACAAAAGTATTATGATGGTGAAAACATTCAAGTGAGTAAAATGCATTAAGTTTCTCTGAGTCACTATAATACAGAAATTATTTCAATTTGAGATGTTTGGCATGTGAAGGAGCAAGGTAAATACCAAATAATTTTCTCCTGTTCTCACAACTGAAAAAAATCACAAAATTCATAAAACAGAGGCCAGAGTTTCAAAGACCTATGGCAAAATATATCCAAATATACATTCACAGATTTGTGTAGACATACCTCACACCAGTCCTAAATTTTTCTGCTATAGATTGTTCAAGGACTTGTCAAATCTGTGATTTCTGGTGAAGTTCAGTAAATTACTTGTTCTCTAAATTACTACTTTTAAATATACTAAGTAAACCTAGTTTGATTTTTTTATGCTTTTCAAAGTAGACCCAAAATACTGACCAGTTTTCATAACTTTTTCTTTCCAAATCACTCAACATCCCTTAGAGTAAATTCATGCAGAAAAGCCAAAGAAAGAATAATCAGGAGTGAATACAGAACAAAATAAGAAATATATTTTTGCCACTGTGTAAAAATATTACTTACCTATACTCTATAATACCATGTGCAGCTCTGGTCACTCTTCTTCTGAATCAATCATTGGGAATATTGCCATGTGTCATTAAATGGAAATGATATTTTTATTATTTTTCAGGACTGATTGACTAATATCTTAGGTATTTTTTATTGAAATGCATCATTAAATATTGAATGCTGAAATCAGTAAGGTTGGAGGAATACAACTGCCAAGGAAAACAAATCAGAATTAAATGTACATTTCCACTGCAGAGCTCCCATGAGGTGGTATATGAGCCTTAGGAGAGGAGTAGGCAGGTTAGGTCTCACAGAGACGTGTTTTCTTTGGCTGGCAAACAGCTAATCATTTTTTAACTTGGCTCTTGTTTCATATATCACATTCTATAGGACTGCCCTTATGTACCCCTCTTTTAAGTATTCTGAGTTTCCTTCATATAGAGCAAGGTCTTCTAATTCAATATCAGTTTTTCGCTTAGAATAAGAAGGCAATCTGCTGTGTAGTATATTAAAGGGAAACCAAATATTTTTGGTGACAACTCAACACCTAAGGGTTCAAGCTGACCTTACACTAATGATTGTTATCCTATCCTGTATTCCCAAGCCATATGGATTTTTGATTACAGTGCAATCATAGACTTGCACAATAGACCAGTTCACTACAGTAAAACACCAGTAATGACACAATCAGATGTGTAATTTGTGCTGCTCAGCCATCAGTTAGAATCCATAGGAAGCTGCAGTACCCCAGAGAAGAAGGGTGAAGCAGACACTGTCTCTTCCAGCACAACCTCACAGGACTGAAGACAGCAAAGCTTGCACCCTCTCTTTTAAGTTAAGCTGATTGACTGTCAGCTTGTTCTCTGGCATGAATGCAAGAACTGATTAAGAGCAAAATGACCCTTTAGGAGCAAAATTTGATGGGTTACCTCAGGCTGGGAATACAGGCTCCAGCTGTGATTGACGTTTGCAAACTTCTCTGGGATGCTGCACTGTGGTGAGAAGCTGGTTCTCCTTACCTTCTCCCAGAATTGTGCATTTTCCAGCATGCAGGTCTTCTGAAGAACTTCAGTGGTGTAAATCTTTTCACAGTGGCCAGCTATGAAAAGAAGGTGCTAATCATTTTACAATTTAATTTTCCAATTACAAGTACCCTCTTATTCTTCTGAGCCCCTGCTGTGCCAGCCCTGGGCACCTGTACCCATTCAGGCTGAGGACAGGTCACTGTCCTAAGAGGCGCACTGCTCACTTGGGAGGTCATTTGTTCAGATCCACAGTATTATTTTCTAAATTTCACCCACTCAACAAAAGTCAATACATCTACCCCAAAAATGCCCAGTTTGTTTGTGTAATACCTTTATCGTTCCAACCAGGTTTCACAGGGTGTTTCAGTGGCTGATCTGGATTTGCAGGCCATGTCTTAATAGCTTTGCACCTACCACTCCTATGATGAAAACCAGTAATATGGCTGTAACTAAGCATGTCATATAAGCACCCTGATTAGATAAGCTGTGGATATCTAAAACACAACCCACACCCCAGATTTCGATTACAGCTATGTGCATGTTCTAAGGCAGATGCTGAAATACCTCAGATACATCCTGGTTAAATAAGTTAACACTTCTGGACTGTTGTGTAGTAGGTCAAGAGATTCCACAACATTTCTTGAGATACATTAAGTGTAAGGCTTTAGTCAATGGTATCACATGAGAGCAAAGATAAAAAAAAATCAGCATTTTTAGGAGCTACTTTGTTAACTGCATATAACTCCTGCTACAGTGTTATGCCAACAAAAATTAATGTTAATTCAGTTGACAAGCTAAGAATCTTCACACAGTTTTCTTTAGCACAATATACAGTTCTTCAGACCACGTGCACTTTGATGGTGGGAATTTGATTTTCAGTGCACTGTTCAGGAGGCTGACTGCACAACCAGCACTCATAAAGAACAGTATTGGTGCTTTTTCATAGCATTTTGAGGGTTTATAAGATGAAGTAATGAAATGCAGCTTTTGTTGTGGAGCAAGAACAAAATATTGTACTCTGCATATATTTATATTTCTTGATTGAAGATAACAAAGTCAGATCAACATTCAACTACTCTCCTTTTACATTGTCAGAAATTTATGTCTGACTTTAAGAGAGGATGCCTGGACTCTTACAGATCTGATCCCATACAGGAAACATAAAAGTTGCAAGAAGAATCAAATGATTGCTTGACAAGGCAGTCAGGTCACAAAACAGAAATGCAACAGGAGAACTTTGCCTTTAACAGCACTCCCAGATCAGTCAGGCTGCAATCACACTTAGCATCAGAAGAAAAGTGCACTGATGACAACATTATGCTCAGGGCAAACTTATTTAACCTACTTATACAAGTCTGTATTTGACTCTCTGTTCTAGCAGACAGCACATTAATCATGTGTATCTGACACCATTCATGAAGATTCTCAGTTGACATCTATTACCAGTGCATTACATTTACTTTATGGCTTACTACAACTTGGAAAGGAGCAAACTGCCTTTGCTGATGTTATACAGCTATTTCTGCAGTTTTACTTTTGGATTGACCCCAAAACTTTCAGAGCAGTGAATCCCAAAATACTTACAAACAAGTACTAGCTCATCTAGGAACTACTGAAAAATGTTATTCAAATAAAAGCACACAAAGCTCAGCTAGTGTTTGTCAGTCTATCAAAATCAAACCAAAAAGAACTCTCTGAAGAATGACATAACATTAACAGTAGTTTCAATATTAAACATCACAGCAACATCTGGTTTTGTTACAACTTTTTTTTCTAATACAAGAAAAGGCAAGCTCACTGTACCATACCTGCAAAGCCTGTTTTCTCTCCCCATCTAAATCCAGCAGAAGGTGATTGGGGGTTTTTGGACTGTGTCAAAGAGGTGAGCAGAGAGGAAGTGAAAACAGCCACAGCCTCATTCACCGACCTCACTATGGGAATGGACAAGAGACACTTCTTAAACAAGGTGATTCCCTCACAAAATCTGGCATCTCATAGCTAACCTGCAGGCAGCCAAGTTAAACACCTGCATGCCAAACCAAAGCAGCTGTCTGTCCATCTCTGCCAGCCCACCTGCTCAGGATACCTCCTACCAGTGGGCTGAGATCTTTCAGCAAGTACCCAGTCCAAACACAAGGTGTGTTGGTGTTTTCCTTCCTTTACTCTTCCTCAGGACCTTAATTTTCAAAGCATGCATTGATTAACCACAGTAATACATCTACCTTTATTATCACTCGTAGCTGAACATCACCTCCATTTCAGTCGATGACTGTGGAGATATAAGTAACAAACACACTAAATAAGTTACTATTAAATTGCTGTTGCCTTCACTACTCATAGACACATAAATGTTACTCAAGCTTTTCACAAAGGAATTAAATATTAAGGATAACATTATGTTTTGACACAGTTAATTTATCAAATTATTCAAGGGATTCTATAAGGGAAAAATTTATTTTGGTTGTCCAGCATTTAAAAATAAGTTAGCTACTATGGAGCATACACAAATTTAGCACACAGACACAGAGTGGATAGACAAAAGGGACTGTATAGGTGTTGGACTCAGGAAGGAAAAAATATTTAAGTTGCCTTTCTTTTCATTTTTGGCAGCTCCACAGTTACACACACAGCTGTTATTAACAGTATCAGAGTCCAAATTTGTATCAAGGGAAGAAATGCCACCTCCCTTCTCAGCACAGAGGTTCCCAAATCCATCCTCACAGAATGAAGTTTTCACAGCTATCAATAAGATATACATAGGTTTGCTGTTTACATGTGTAATGGGAGCCACAGAAAACCCTCATCAAAGTCCCACAAAACCAAACTTTGAGAGCAGTCTCTGCTATCAGGCCTGAACATGTTACCCCATTTGTTCTAAACAACAGGATTTATTCTTCCCTTCCTTGCCTATAGACCCACTTTCTCCTTAGTTTCCAGGTTAGTTGCTCCATCTGTTTCAGAAAGCATTTTGAAATCTGACAGGATGAAGGGTGTCACTTAGACTACTTATAATAATTTTAACCTCTTTTATCTCTCATCCTGCTCATTCCTGCATTAGTATATTGAAGGAGGAGGACATGCTAAGTTTGTACAAAATTGTGCTGTGTCTGAAGAGGAATGACTGTGCATTCACCTTTGAAGAATTCCCAACAGCTTTGTTCTCTATTTGCTGGGTGCTGGGAACTTCTCTACACAGTGAACTCTTGGTTCACTCTTTGTTCACATAGACTATCTGTCTATTTTCAAACTGGTAAAGCTTAACTGGTGCTACACAGGATGTGCCTGATCAGGGAGGCTAATACAAACCAGCAGGACACTTTCAGCACTGTGTTCATTCCCTTTATATGATGTCACCCTACTGTTGTCTGGGGAGGGGGGGAGGGGAATGGATTGATGGCTTACTTTTCTAAAATTTATAGGTAAATTACATAAACTAATTGAAAATTCTTAATTTCATTATATTTTCCAGTGCAAAATATATAAAAAGATGTAATGTAGAACACCATCACTCCTTTCCTAGCTTGGAATTGCTTGCTGTAAGGTTTGTGGGTATCCATAAACTGCAATTTAAAAATGGAAGTTTACTTTAAATAAGGTGATGTCAAAAGATTTTGGAAGTGAATCATGATGCTACATAATTCTACAGTACCTTTGTAATTATGCAGATATCATTTGGTTTCACTGTAAGCTCTGTTTGTGCTATCTGTGAGATAGTGTTTCTCTTTGTATGGGATAGTCTGAAATAATAAGCATATTAGGAGGAATTTACTAGGGTTAACTATTTTACTGATATGGATTCACATGTCTGTAAGCTTTACTGATTCATTTTCTTCAAAAAATGATGGGCTGTAGCAAAGAAATATTCACATTTTTTTGAAGGAAGAATTTACGCAGTGTTTTGAAGTTTTCTATGTATTATTTCATCATTACATTCTAGGAGAGAATGGGATTCATGTCCCATGGATGTGCACCATCTTTCAGAAATGTTAGGAGAAATACTATCTTTCCAGAGAAATGGGAGGAGAAAGAATTACCTTGGCATGCCTTTACCAGTCCCAGTGTTCCTGGTGCTGTAGGGTCTTTGACTCTCTCATCCCTAAAACTAAACCTAACACACACCACTGGGCCTAACAACTGCCACAAACACTACTCTAAACAC